AAGCAGATTTTGTTGGGAGATGTAGTATCTTAGGTCTACTGAGAGAAGTCAGGCAAAAAGCAGGTGAGATCTGGGCCTTGTGGGTCCAAAACCTTCTTTATGTTCTTCTCTCTGGATTGCTTGATCTAAACCCCTTCCTTGTTCCTACTTTTCCTGCAAAAAAGAGAATTTTGTGTGGACTGCAGTGTTTTATCGTACTAGGACTTTCTTATACACACTTTTGGAGCAGGGAAGACTATTTAAAGCTGTCACCCAGGGAATACTTGTCTGTACTTCCTGGTGTTGCTTTGCTCTGTTTCTCCTGCACAAGCAAACTTCATCTTTGAGAGGAGAGTTCAGCTTAGCCTGGAGCAAGGAGTTTTCTTCTGCTGTCATCCGTCTTGGAAACATGAACTAAGCTGCTGAGTAGCATGTCCTAGTCACAGAGACCTTGAAATTCATTTGGCAGCCCCTGAGAAGGCAGCGTGAGGGATTCGGGCTGCCAACAGGATGGATCCTCCTGGGCTGGGCTGGGCTGGCATTCCCTGAGCACCGCCTGGGCCCTGATCAGGGCTGTCACGTTTCCCCAGTGCCAGGGAGCGCTGACACAGCGTGCCTAACCTGGCCAAGACAGATAGGGTCTCCTGGCCAACTGGGGATAGTGGAAATGATTTCCTGCAGATGCCATCATGTGCAAATTTAGCACCAGTGAGAAATCCAAGCACATTCTCCAGGCACAGTGTGCTGGGCAGCATGTGTGACCAGTCCTTGGTGAAAGGGCTGGGAGCTCTCTCCTGGTGGTACTTCAGATCAAGACAGAGACCACAAGGTACCAGAGAGATCACTTGTGCCTGTAAAAACCTTGAAAGCCCCAATGCAAGGGCCACGGGGAATTGGGACCTCCCAGCATTCAGCACAGAACCCAAGGTTTGAATGATTCGACATTTAACCCTGTTACTCTCCTTTCTTCTCTGTTGGACAGTGGCATTTGTGCTTCATGTATAAAAGTGAATTGTATGCATATGAGGAATCATTCGTTTCTTTGCAACACTGCTTAGAGCAAAGGCAATAAATGTACATGTGGGGAGAAGATATGGTGTCTTTTATTAAGAAGGAAATACAGGACTGTATCACCCTGTTTCCATCTGCCCGTGCATCCCCTCTGAATATTACCTAAGGTTATAGCTGAGTCTCAGTTACCACTCATAGGGAATATAGTGATTCCACTCCCATAAAACTCTGCTTTCTCTGAAAAACACCATTTCAATTTCAACTATAGACCCAAACAGAGCAGCACAGTGACTCTGCTGTTGTGCAAATGGAAACGTGTCTGCTGTGCTCCTTGTCTGCCCAGCTGTGACATTTTCTGTGCTGTCTTATCACATGCCAAACGATTAGATTATCAGAACTGATCCACCCACGGAAAACTGCCCTCTGCCCCGTCAATCATGTTGCTTACCTTTCCCTGCATCCAGAGCAACCCCCTTTTCCAGGCATCCCTAGATGGATGCTCAGGTTGACACCACGTGGTTGCTCTGCCCTGGGTAACCAGAGGAGGGCTGCATAAACAGGGTGGCAGGTGGAAGGAATGTGCTAATCCTGGCCATGCCCTTCCATCACCTTCACGTGCTCCGTCAGCTGCGTGGAGCCACCCAGTCCTGCACACCCTCCGCCCCTGTGGCATGTCCCTGTGGATCTGTGCCATGGGGCCTCGTGCTCCTGCAAGGCACTGTTGCCAACCCAGGTCTCTTGGATGACCAGAGCTCCCCTGGGGTGCTGGGGGTGATGGGTAATTCAACCGTGTGGCTGCCACCGGCAGTTTGGAAAAAAAAAAAAAAAATCACTGAAAGTGGTTAGGAATTACAGTCTGGAGGTGTTGTGTCTCCCAGGTCATCTGTAGGGGGGAAAAAAAAGGCAAAACAATCAAGATGGAAGGGAGAAAATGGGGGGAAATGGAGTTCTGTGATGATGGAGGTGAGCAGTTCCTGGGAGAAAAGAGGTAAGAAAGCTGGAAGAAGTCCAATTTGTGGTTTTGGAGACATAAGAAAAGTTGTTCTGGGGATGGATGTTCACTAGACCATCACAACCATGTGAAATCTGAAAAGCCATGGTCTAGAAATGGGGCTTTGGGGACACCTGGGATACAAATGGACTGTTAGGCTGCTTCTCAGGCCATGTGGAGACACGTATTCTGTTGCTTAGCATTCGTTTTTGTTTGTCAGCTCCAGAAAGCTGTTTTCCCACAGCCTTGTCTCAGGATCGTGGGGTGCAGGAGCAAACTGGGGCTGTTGACTTTCAGACTACTCAATCATCCTGCAAATTACAGCCAGCCCAGAAAAAAACACAGCTCTGCATGTTTCCTTATTTAGGTAGAAGTGTTGGGAAAATAGCATGAGATTTTGTTTCTGATAAAGTAGGAGCTGTTTCAGGAATATTAATTATTTTTCTTGTATCAATGTTTTACATTTATTCCTCCACTGTGGTATTGGGAATGAGATGGATGAAGTCTACAGAGCAGTTTCAGACTTTCTGTCAGGCATTCAAGCCCATGAAAAAAAAAAAAAAGAAATTGTGCTGACATTTTGGAGTCAGTAGGGTTTATGTTCTGGTTATTTTAGCCTGGGGTTTGGAAGCTGTGGGCTCCATTCCCTGTCCCGTGTATCTTTTTGCAACATCACTTGGAGTCAGGTTCTTAAAAAGTTTCTGAATGCCTAAAGACAGAGGTTTAGGGACAGCTGAAAGTGTTCCGTCACCCGAGTCATTTTGACCATGTTGTGTACCACTTCTGTAATCCTCCATCTCCCACAACTTCGCACTGGTGAAAGGCTGCAGGAAAGATTTTGCTGCTTTAGAGTTGTACTGGGAGGAGAAATGCCAAGAGTCTGGGAGATGTTGGAGTCTACAAAGGCACACGTGCTTTTCAGTAAGGAAGTGAGGATGTAAGGAGTGGATCCATCAGAAAGTTTTTATTTGTTATGTCCAGCTTGAAGTGAATGCTCAGTGCTAGGCTTGGGCAGAGTCTGGGTTGGAAGAAGGTCTCTTCTTCTGGACTGGAGCTGATTCAGGCCCAGAGAGAGTTCACCCAAGTCTCTAGACAGTCTGAGACAAGACGGTGATGGTGTACCTGGGAATAAAACCTCTGTCTTGGTGCATGACTCAGAAAAACAAGATGAGGAGTAGGAGCTCAGTCAGGTCCCTCTAACCTGGTGGGAAACCTGCCTGTGAGCCAATGTCCTGCATCTGAGCCAGAACTGAGGCTGCTTTGGACTGCAGGGGAATAGAGGTCATGGAGATAGTTTTAGGACTGGGTCACCTGTGTGTTGTTCCCCTGGGAAAAAGACCTTGAATCTTTTGTGGTGAAACGGCAGGGAAATGTTACAAAGAGGTGTTCTTCACATCATCCCCCGAGATGTAGTGTGGAGTTGAGCTCTCATTCTGGAGCAAGTTGGGGTGATTTTATCAGAAAGTATGGCATGAAACTGACCACATAGGTTAAGTCCTGAAGGTTTCCCTCAGTCAACACTGTCTTTGAAGTCAATGAGGCTAAAGTTATTGCCTGATAGGAGGAGTAGTCCATCTGTGATTTCTCAGCTGAATTAACTTTAATGATAAAAATGTTGATATAAATATGCAAAATATAAAAACAGTATTGTCAGCCACTTTGTTTCTGGCTCAGGGGGTTTATATGTTTAGTCTTGGATGTTCTTTCACATTGATTTTGTGTATCAAGATTTAATGCTATCAGGAACCACTGAGTAAAAATATTTAGTAATAACAATAATAATAGGGGGTGTGATTTGATAATACTAACAAAATAGATAAAATGGATGTCCAAATTGCTTCTTGGCTTGAGTTTAGGGGTTGTCCTGGTGCCTATCCCATTCAATTAGTATTGAGACAGCTCCATTTTCAAGGAGGTCTTCATGCTGGAGCATATCAAGTAAGAGATCTAAGAAACAATAACATCAACAATAACGATGTTTCTCTCAATATACAAAAAGTTTAGCTATTGAGGCAGCTTTTTCTCTTGTCGTTTGTTTAGTCTGTTTGGTGAATTCTGCCAGGTTGGTTTTGATCCTGTGCGAGAGTGATTTGCTGTAAGAGCGGATGCATCAGCCGAGTCCTGTTTGAAAGTAAATAATAAATTATTGTAACAGTTAATATAAGAAACTGACATCTCCAGAGTTTATTGTCCTGTTGGCTTAGTTTAGTTCAGGCCAGTTTCTTTCTGGCATCATTTGCATCCAAGCCGAGAGATCAAAACGGCGCAACCGCTCCCCCAACTCTCCCTCGCTGCCTTCGCGGTGGGTTCCCACGGCCGGGGCTCTCTCCTGGCCGTGGGGAGAGAGGTGCTTTGGCAGGGACGGGTTCTGGGGTGTGGAGGGGGGCGTGCTGTGGGGTTGGAGGACTCCACCGCCGCTGGGCTTTCGGGGGCTCCAGGGTGTGCGGGGAGGGGGATGCTCTGGGGCACAGAGAGGCAGCGGGGTGTCACAGCATCGCGGGGGCTCCCGGAGGCCGGAGGGGTGGCGGTGGCGGGGTGCGGAGCGCTGCGGGGCTCCGCTGCAGCGGGGGCTGCGGGGCGCTCCCCGCTCCGCTCCCGGCGCTCAGGGAGCCGCCGCTACCGCCCCGGCCGCTCCCGCAAAGGGTTAAGGGGAGCAGGGCCGGCGGAGGGCGGGGGCTGCCGGGGGCTCCCGGGGATTGGTGCGAAGTTTGGAGCGGGGCGGCCCCGCACCGCCCTCCGCGGCGGCTCGGCCCCCACCGCCACAAAGCCCTGCAGGGAAAGTTGCTTTATCGCCGGTTTCTCTCGCCCCGGCTCTCCCCCCACCTCCTCCCTTCCCCTCCCCTTCCCCAGCCCCTTACCCCTCCTCCCCTCGCTCCTTAAACGGGATTCCGGCTGGGCGAGCCGCAGGACGGCATCACCGGGCATCCCGCGGCGCGGAGCCCCGGCGGCTCTGGCAGGTCCCCGCTGCCCCTCCCCGCATACACACACACACACACACACACACACCTACCCACTCTCAGCCCGGCCCGGAAAGCAGGAGAAAAAAAAAAAAAAAATTACAAGGTTTCCCCCCCTTTCCCTGAGCTCCTCGCTCCGCGACTCTCGAGTGGAAAAAATCCCTCCCGGGGCGAAGGGCGGCGGGAGGGGGTGTCTGTAAAAAGCCGGTGAAGGGGCAGAGCCGCCCCGTGGGGAGGGCACCCCCAGGCAGCCCCCGCCCGCCCGGGGACGGGGGGATGAGGTAGAGGCCGGCGGCGGAGCGCCCGCCGGGGCGCCGTGGCCGCGGAGGGCATGAGGCGGCGAGCGGCGGGGATGGGCTCCAGCACCAGAGCGCGGTGTTAGAGCCCCGGCAGCACCCGAGGTAAGTGTCCCCCGCGCCAACGCCCCCGCCCGGGACACCCCGCGGGGTCCCGGGAGACGCTAAGGCACAGCTGGGAGCCGCCGAGGGCCGGGGGAGCAGCACCAGGTGGCATCGCGCCGGGTGTTTCCCCCCCACACACACACACCTCGTGTGTCCCTCCCTCCCTCCCGACCCCAAATTCCCGGCTGCGAATGTCCCGTTAGCGGCCGCCGCGGGGCTGAGCCGCGCTGCGCCCCCGGGGCTGCCCCGGGGGAGCCCCCCGTGCCCCGCTCCCCGTGCCCCGCTCCCCGTGCCCCGCTCCCCGTGCCCCGCTCCCCGTGCCCCGCTCCCCGCCGCAAAAAAACGGGGAAGCGAAGGGCGAAGCGGCCGTGTTTGCTCTGCTGGATGCTGTACGCGGGTTGTTGTGTGTCCTGGGGGCACGGGGTGTTTAAACCGGGGAGTTTTACAAGGGTGAGGAATCCAGACAGTGTTTAGAGAGTGAGAGTTTTAGGAGGAGAACAGGGTGTAATTAATGTAAACCTGATCTACCCCGGGTGTGCGTATCACAGCGAAGGCATCTTCAAGAATCTGAGTAATTAAGTGTGGTTTTGCTTTGGGAAGCACCTCTCGAGCCCACGGAAACAAGTGGGGCTGGGGGGGGGGGGGGGAGGGGGGGGGGGGGCGAAGAAGAGGAAAGGAGGAATCAGTGCTGTGCAGAGAAGTCTCGGAGTGGAGGAAGGCGCGTACCCAGATCGGAGCCTGGCTGAGGGGCACTGGAGCAGCAACACAAAGTTTTCTGGGCTGCTGATGGGAGAGGTAACATTCCTCCTCTCCCTTCCCCAAGTTTCTCCACAAATTGTTAACCTGAAATCTTATTTTATGGCCACTTGCTAGTGTTTTGTTTGCCTTCCAGACTGGTTTTATACAGGATACGAAAGAATTATGCATTAACTGTAAACTTAGAGGAGCTTACTGACCTCAGTGGGTTCTTGATTTATATCAGGCTAAAGCAGAGAGGAGGGCAAAGTTTTACTCGCTGAGCACCAAGGAATGAATTACAAGTACGTTGCACTTTCATTTGCTGCTTCTGCTCGCGAGTCTTCGCAATAGGGTTTAAAACTCTGCAAAGTTGAGGGTTGTTTGGGGTTCCCCCCACGCTAGTAATTATTTTGCTCTCCTTTTTCCTGCCTCCAGGTCTGAGAGGACAATAGCCTGTACGATACAGTGGGATCTGGTTTTCAAAATGGAATTGCAGCTCGCGCTCCTTTTCGCAGGGATAATTGCATTTTCGGACTCGGCGAGAGGTAAGGAGACCGCGCCGGGGGAAACACTTTGTGACTCACACCCTTCCCTCTGCTCCGCTGGGCTCGTGCTCTGCAAACTGTGCCCTCGGAGGGACCCTGGAGGGGAGTTGCTGTCGGCACAGGCTTGTCCCCTGCTCGTTACTTATCTTCTCAGGGGTTCAGGCTCGTGCCCACGTGAGGTGCCTCCTCACCTGCGTGGTTTCGGGGCCATCGTTTGGGATGGAGCGCGGTCGCTCCGGCTTTTGCTGAGGTCTCCGAGGCGCAGGTGAACTTCCAGGGGCTTTTCTTGTGCCTGTGTAAAAGTATACAGACAATTTTGAAGAAAAGCAACTGCATTCCTCTGTGGATCAGAAATACCTCTCCCCTCCTGTAATCCCTCCAGCCCCTGCCCCATGTATTCCCACTTACAAACTAAACAAACACATCCATTAACTTCCGCGGTGACAGACAAATGACAGTTCCTAACAGCGAGAGCGTATTTTAACTCTGAGACTCCAGCAGTTGATCAGATTTCAATAAACAGGTTACCTTACCAGAGGCAAATTGGAATATATTGACCTGGGAGTGATGGGGCTAGAAAAAAAGAAGTGTCTTTATGGAAAGGTGCTTTTAGCAAAGCTCTGGGGTCAGAGTGCAAGGAACAGTGGCTTCTCCTCCACTCTTGCCTAGGTTGTACCTTGGTGGGTGTTGTCCTTGGAAAGCCTGAATGGGAATTCATGCTTTCAGCTTCCCCACCTCTGGTTACGATGTAAGGGGCTGCTTGTTCCAGGAAAATGGGAGTATGACTTTAGGATGCAGATTGCTCCAGCTGCAATTCCCAACAGTATCAAAGTTTCATGAACTGTTGTAAGACCTCTAAATCACCCAGTGTGATGAAGTTGTGAATTTAAAGGTTTAAACTTGCCCTTCACTTGGACCGTAACTTGCCAAAAATAAACGTTGGGGGTGAGGGTGGGAAAGAAAAGGGGGAACATTACTCTGAAAGCCCAAGGTTTGGTTAGTGCGCTGTGCTTTTTTTTTTTTCCTTCTTGGCATTGGCTCCCAAGCAAATATTTTATGGAGGCAAAAGCACTATAAAATGATTTGGCTGGAAGCTGGATGAAAAAGAAAACAGTATATAGGCTGTTAAGTCCTGCAAGTCGGAATTCCCGGCAAGGTTTTACAATGGAGACTCAGTTTAAGTTGTAGGCGATGGGCAGCAGCGTATGAATTAAGATGACCTCATGGATGTATATTATTGCAATGGACCTGAGAAGTTGGTGGAGTTCCGGAAAAGATCTGAAGTGGGCAGGAGAAGACAAAAAGTTTTTTGTCTCTGTTGTGAGCTGAGTATTGGCTGCTTTACTGACTGACCCTGTTTAAATTTGGTTTGCACTTGTCTTGCTCGTACTTTTGTTGCCCCTGGAAAGTGAAGTGCTGTGGGCTGTTGTCACGTGAAGAAGTGACAGAAAATTAGCCGTGGTAATTTCAGGCCATCATGATTTTTCCTATGGGAGTGTCTTTTTAATAAAACTTTGATAGGATCATATTGGTAATTGGGTTATTTGAACCCTTTTCGGAACTGGAAAAATCCATCCTCTAAGTGTATTGAGAGATGGTTCTGGTTGTTTAAAATTATCTAGAAATAGAGTTTAAAAACCAGGACCAAACCCTTGAAAAATTCATTCGTGTGCTGATTTCAAGATTTACTGCTCTAAAAATATAGACTATATCCTGACATTGAAATCCTGCTTTGGACCTCCTTAAGGTTGAGAACATTTTTGATATTGGAGGACGTAGATGGAAGATGTGTATGAACAGAGATGAGACACTCTCCAGAACTTTGAAACCTTATTTTGTGCTGACAAGTATCTCCAAATTATTAGGCATTTACGTGGGGATAATTTCAGATTCTCTGAAAAATGTGCCAGACTGTTAACATGCCTGGAGATCTTTTTCCGAACATCTCATACAACGGGTTTGGCCACTGGAGGTGTGTAAGTGTTACCTGTTTCAGTCACTCAGGTTTTATAGACAGTTCCTCAGCCAAATCGCAGCCTGAGGTCATGAGGCTCTTCTCCGGAGGAAGAAGGGCTCTTTGTTTTGGCCAAACAGCATTTAATATCTGTATCCTGATTGCAAATCAGACATGTGTGGCCCAAAGTGTGCCAGCACCTCCTGATCCGAGGGACTGGAAGTTAAATAGGTGCTCGCTGGCTTGCGGTCATGTGAGGAAAGCGGCTGAGGAGGCTCTCTGGGGAAGCGGTGGTCCTTCTTTTCTACTCATATTAGGCAAAAGTAGGTTATGCTGGAGTTAGGGTGTTAATTTGGAGCCGACTGATGTCGTGCCCGTGCTCGGGGAAGGGCTGTGCCATGGTGCATCTGCACAAGGGGGCAGAGTTAAGTTGCCCACGCGCTCCGGCTTTGATATTTCCTGACAGTTGAATACTCAGCTGCAATCTTGCATTAAATGTTACGTTGTATTATTTTTAAATCTTTATTTAGGTGATGCCTTTTAAGGCAAAGGGCTCTGCAGGGATGACTGATTGGGCTAATGCGGCAATTATATTTTTCCACCTCCATTAGCAAAAAGGGGCGTTTTTCCAGGTTCAGATCTTTGCCTACTGGCTCTGTCCCTTCTTGTGACCCAATGTGTCTCATTGCTGAGGCAGAAGACGCTGAGAAAAAGGGGGATATCTTAGCAAACCAAGATAAAGTCTTAAGAAAGAGGCAGTACCTTTGAAGTATTGAGGCGAAGCAGAGGACAGGTCTGATTTTAGAGGTCCAAGTGCAGAACTGGCTGTGTTTGGAGGGATGAAAGATGAGATAACTCTGGCTAAGTTTGAACCAATGCTTTTGGGGTCAAAACCTAAAGAGTTTGGTTACAGGCTTGTCTACAACTGCAAATGCACTGGAATAACACTTCCAAAAAACTGGAATAACTCTCTCAGTGACCAGTCTTATTCCAGGCTAAGGATCTCCCAGAGGGAGTCTGTATCAGAAAAGTCTTCATTGGGAGTTATTCTGATAGTCTTATTTCCCTCGTGGATGATGACTAGAATGCATGTGTGCACAAAACCCACTTTTTGACAACAAAACCTGCATGTCGTGGTTTTTTTAGAGGGATTGTGCCTCCCGGCTAACAGCCAAGGTGTGAGGCAGCAGCTTCAGCCTGGTCTCCAGCCACACAGGATAATGTTAGCCCTGTACCTGGGATAACAGCACAGGTCCAGTGGCTTGTCTCTCGTGTCGCTCCATTCCTGTTCTCTCCAAGCAGCCCCATACTGGGCATAAAAGTCCTCAGTGCCCAGCCCTCCTCTGCGGGGATGAATGCCATCTTGGGTCACTGACCTTTAGAAGCTGTGTCCTGCAGCAATGTAGCTCCTGCCACTCCACACCTCCGGTCGGACGCAGGTAATAGAATCTGATATTTTCCTGCTTATGTTATCTCAGTGACGGACAACGCGGTATTTGTTCCGAATCTGTCAAGTTGCCATCATATTCGCGTTGGTGACCGTATATGGTAACGTTGGGATGTGTTTGGCTTGGTCCCGTGGCTTAAACCAGATTTTGCCTGGTATGTTTAGAAGTTTTTGGTAAGAGCAGTAACCACCCTCCTGTTAGCGAGTAAACTGATATTCTGCTGGAAACTAATTAGTTTGGATGTTGATTTCATTTTCGGTGCATTGCGTAGGGAGGGGAAGAACGGGACCTTAATTGCTTTCTGTTCTGGCACTTCTCTGTGCGACCTTGGCTTGCAAACCTGCTTGGTGCCTGCTTTACAGGGAATTTGCTGATGGGGCCGCCTCAAAATCCAATGGCTTCACGCAGAAATAATGTTATGTGCTGTTTTTGTTTCTCTTGATATTGAAGAAGAGGGAGTAGGATGTTAGAAGTGTTTTTTATTTCTTGGGAGTTGAGTTCTTCATTCTGATGAACAGAATTCCCATTCTGTAACTTTGGGGTTTATAGGACCGAATGGCAGTACACATAGGAAAGATAAATAATAATACAGGAGAGATGGTTGTTGGCTTCTGTTTTACTCCTTTATTCTTGTTGAGTGATTGCTACCAGATAATGATTAGGTAATTTCTCGCTTGTGAAAGAGAAGCATCAGAGTTCAGATCTAATATCCCAATTCAGATTTTATGTAAGACATAGCACATCTTCTGGTGAAGTTTGGGGCATTTTTTGGATCGTGCTCTTGGGGAACTTGCTCATGAATAATCTGTCAGCATGACTTGTACCTAGAGTCAACATGACGATCTAAGAAAATCCTGGTTATTTTTTTAAATGCTGGTTCCTCCCTTCTTCTGAGGCTGTCGCCTGCTTTAAATTGTGGCTGAGTTTAAATTTAAAATGCAGTGTGCGTCATACTGGAAAATTAGGGTTGATTTTATTTGTTTTTAATTAGGAATATTAAAAAACTCAGCAGATTGCTCAAATACATTTAGATTTTCCTTTAAGTTTTTATAACTCTGCTTTCCAAGTCCATATGTTTCTTTGACCTTCGCTAAAAGACGCAAGCAGCAAATTAAAACACATCTTTTCTGGGATGAACTTGTACACAGCAAAGGCTGGACTCCAAAGCCTGACTCTAAGCCACAGAAGAAACTTTCATATGCTATGAAGTGGTGCTTGAGATATTATACAAAAATGATTCTTTCAGGAAAAAAACGTCATTCAAAAATAAAAAGAAAAAGTAGAAATGACACTTCCTAGCAAGTAAGAACCCCTTTTTCAAGATTTGGGACCATTGGTGCTAATTTATTAACTAAAGATGAAGTTTGTCATTAGACATGAATTGGCTGATAGAGCTGATCCTTTCCAATGGCCTGTCTGGTAATTCCTTTTTGAGTGTCTATCTCACCGTGAGCGACGCTGGTACATCTGGGCTCAGAACAATCCTTGTGCTCCCTTATAGTGTCAGTACAGTGGAATCAGGATGTGCCTTTTTTGATTAATTATTGGAAGAGATAAAAATTTCCACCGAAAGGGGAAAACAATAATACAGAGGTTCT